GTGAGCTCATCATCACTGGATCGATAAAAGACTCGTGGTCAACAATACACCTCAATAATCCCTCCGATGCAAACAAAAATGACAAATACTTCAAAACCTTATTTATACTCACCTATCCAGGTCAGACTCTGGATCAGTTTTTGATGGCTGAGGTCCTGATTTATTTTGAGATGTTACATTCTGAGTAGATGGAGTCACTTCATTGGTCGCTTGAGGACGATCAACTCTGAAGATGACAGATTTTTTAGAATTTTTGGAACAATTTCAGGTGAGCAAACTGCAACACAGTGATGGAATAATTCCTCATTTCCCTTTTTTTAAAGACAATACGTCAAGATTCCTAATTGTCGGCACAGCGCATTAAAGCGTATCACCTTCTGAGGAACATTGATGAGAGTGGACCTTATGTTCTCATCACTTAAATAAATTGATCAATGGGCCAAGCTTCCAAATCTTGAAGAGATGTTTAACACCTACCTTTCTACAGGCTCAGGCTCTGGTTCATCGCTAGTGACAGGGGTCATGAGAGAAAGCAGCTCTTGAGTTTCCTCATCCTGATCGTACTACAACACAACACAATGCGCAAAATCAGACAACAGGTCAAATAATGGCATTTCAGTGAAGTCATTCATTAAATGTTTTGGAGCTAACTGCTCTGACTAGTAATTACACATCGACTGTACCTCAAATTTGAGCTTAGTTCCATTGATATCCATGCGAGAGCTCAGGCACTCTCCCACCACCATGCCCAAACGCCTGATATGCACCACACTGCTGTCCAGGTGGCTCTGCATGCCACCCAACATACACTGAAGTAACTCTGAGAAAGGAGGCGCACAACAGCGAGAAGAGGAGAGCTGAGTGAAGCAACAATCTCCTTCAGTTTATATGATCGCATTACGGTTGCTGCTGCTACTAAGTGAAAGCCTAGTAACTTGTGTTTGGAGATGAATAATAACACGAGTTGCCAGAATTGTACCTGAGCGTAGCTCCTGAAGCTCAGAGTCTCTCAGCAGGCTCACACTCAGCAGTAAAGCCTTGCTAACATACACCTGCTGCTCTAGAGGTGTGTGTTTCACTGCACTGGGGTTAGCCCAGGCCTGGGACACAGACCGTAACACCTGAAAACATACACAAATACATGTAAAATGAGCAATGCATTTAACATGATATCATTAGGCTGCTGCACATATCATACACTCACCTGTATTAGTAGTGGCCTTCGCTCTCTGTCTGCTGCGAGGTAACCCAGAACAATTCTCAAGACCTGAGTCTGGCAAAAAAAAAAACACATACTTCATATGATATTTACAAAATACACATATGATTTACTGTAAGGCTGAAAGTTATCTTCTTACCTTATACTTATACTGTAGTAACAGCAGTTTATGAGTGATGACAAACTGGGCCTTTTTATTTGTTAACACTAGATTCCCAATAATCCGTCCCAAGGCCTCAGGCCTGGAAAAAAGAGGCAAGAGACGTGGTTAATTATGGGCTGACAGAGAATTGACCGCTAGTGTCCAGACAAACTGATGTCTGTTTAAATGCGTATGACCTTCCCAGCCTGACTGAAGCTATAACCACCTTACCCACTGACAGCCTGCACCAATCCAGTGAGTACGCTCTCTATCCATCGCTGTGGAACATTCTCCAGCAGCTTCCAGCAAACCCTCTGCCACACCATGTCTGAGCGTGTGGAGGCAGACAGCTGAGGAGCCATAACTGCCAGGACCACATCTACAAGAAGAAGGAGGATTTAAGGGATTCTGTGTCACTATGGATGCTGCAATAAATAACCAAGGGTCAATTTATTTCCTATAGAACTAGTGAAAGAAAAATATTATCTATGTATGAATGATAATAAACTTGAAGAGCCAAGAAATATTTGATATGACCAAACATTTCACCATAATCAGCCGTCAACAGTCCCTGAAAGTTTATCAATTCCTTATTTTCTTACCGGTGAATTGAATTTCATGGACAATAGTAGTTCATGGACAATAGACCATGTCAAACAGACAAAAGCTATAAAATTTCTTTGATCAATAATTTAAACAATTAACAAAATTGTTATTTATAAATTTACTGAATAATGGAGCTACCCATGGACCAAGAGGCTTGCTGCGTGAATGTGGGAAAACTATGAGAGGAGAAGCAATATAGAAACTTTTCATACACACAGTAAATAAACTCACCGCTATGTCCCTGGATACACACTTTTCCTAGAGTCTGAGCCACAAAAGTTAAGGAACAGTCTGTTCCATCTGTCACACACAAACAAACAATTACAGAAATGACAGTTTATCCTGACACATAATACATTTTTATGAAATCTCTCATTATTGCTAAGTGCTTGACAGATGTTCCCTCACCTTTCAGGGCCTTGCAGGTCCTCTCCAGGGAAGTGAGCATCTCTGTGGCAAGTAACGGGTAGTACTGCTGAGGAAGAAAGAGAGGCTTGTTGTTGGGATGTAACCTGTTGGCTGTGAGGTCCGGCAGCGCCACTATACGCCCCAGGAGAGTCTCTCGGAGCTGGGGGGAGTCAGAGGGAGCTGCCTCCAGACAGTGCGACCACAGCAGGTCAGCGAGGCGACCACTCTGAAGGAACTTCTCAGTGATGCTGACCAGGTAGACCAGATTCGTGCTGGGTCTGCAGAAAAGAGACAACATAGACAACATAGTAATTAATGAATGGACAAAATGATAAACATGCTTCACATCCCTCTTCCAGCCACACCAACCTCAGCGCTCCTATTCCCTCCATCAGCACCAGCAGAGCCTGCTCTGGAGGTCCGTGGAGGAACAGGCCACCCCATAACTCTGTGCGCTGGGCTGCTGTGAGTTTGTGCAACCAGTCTGCCTGGATGTTGCTGACAAGGAACTGAAGGGTGCGGGTGTAGTGAGCTCTTCTGAATTCAGCCCTGTGAACTGAAGTGGGTGTACTCTCGGGTCCTTCATCCAAGTAAGAGTGGAGTGTTTGAAGAGCAGCAATAATGTCTTTGTCATCTGTGGATGTAGCGAGTGTCCGGAAGCACTGGGCCACCATCAGACGGACCTCAGTGTTAGGGGTGAGTGATTCCATTTTGAAAAAGTTATTAACTGGTGGCTTTACATCCTAGACAAAAAATTAAAGGGACACTTTACTCCAAAACAGCAATGAAGTTTCTGTGAAGGTATAAATGTCCAGAAAAAAAAGTATGTCTCCTATAATGAATAACCATTATTTCATTTAGACAATTTCTAAAATGCAATAAAGCTACAACTGATATCAATATATCACAGCAAAACCTTTTGGACCTTCACTCGTGCTGAGTAGAATTAAGTCTATCTTAAGTCTAAGTCTGAGTTTAAGTCTATCTATCGATCCTGTAGCTAACAGTCATTGAGTGCAGAGGCTCGTTATCATCAAAGTAAGGTTTCACAATACAGAATAAACATAAATAAATAAACATGCATCTCCATTGGAATTAGCTTAAACCGCTAGTCCGTCAAAAGTGATACGCACCTGAGCCTTTTGATTAAACAAGACAACAGTAATTTACATGACGACTGCGGACACAATTTACAGCCATTGTGACATTAAAACATTTCTTTTCGAGGAGAAATTTACAATTCCTACTGTCAGTTCACGTTATGACAGCCCGCGCTGTCGCTTCGTTTTGCTTGTGCTCCGTCAAAATACGTTCGTGGTGAGCAAGACGGGGACGTAAGGTTCCGGGGACAGTCTGCCCTGGTGCCGCATTCAAGAAGCCAACGTAACGTAACGTTTTGTAACACTTCTGGGTGCTCGTGATGTCATACCCAGTGTATAACTTTCTACATCGATTAACAAATGAACTAATCGGCGAATTAATCAATTAAAAAAGTGCAAGCCTTATATACAACGATGACTTGAAAAAAAAAAACGGCATGTAAGCATACATATGTGAATAGTTCAAGAATAATATAAGATTAAACTGATTGATAGTGAAAATAATAATACAATTTGCGGGTTACATTACAGCCTTTAATTGAAGTGGTTTCAGCATCTGACATCAAGTTTTCTCAAGAGTAATATGAGCTAAACATCACATTTCATAGTAATTATACTGGTCCAGCATCATAAGAGACCATTGTGTGACTTAGGTGACAGCATCTGTAACATCTGAAAAAAATTTAACAGTAGTTTAAATCTCACCTCTTGGACCACTGTAGTAAACTGTAAACAAATATAAAACCAGGACTTTTACTCTTACGTCCTTTTTATAAACATAATTGTGTCTAAATATTTTATTATTCACCACCAATTAATCTATGGTATGAGTTATTATATACACAATCGGTTTTCCATTGCTTTTTCCATGTTATTATTATTATTATTATTATGTTGTTGTTGTGTGTCTTTTGGTTATTCATTTACCAACTGAATACTGATTAACACAAATGGGCCCCCACTGATTCAAGACACAAATCAAGTATGAGTTGATTTTATTGCACACCTACACTTACATGGTTACTATTAGGAGACAAATGGGCTTCACACCTTCCTTCAAGGTCTGGTACTTAACATAATGTTGATCAGACACTGGAGACAAAAACATACAAAGAGTGATTGGAGATCTATGGGTTAGAGGAAGAAGGAACAGGTATCGGGAGATGAAGATGTTCAAAACCAAATGAACGCACCTGAACGAACCTCAAGGCTCTGACCTTAGTGGTGGTCAGTTTACACATTCCTGAGAAAAAGTACCATACCGTACTCAAATCCTTCAAAACAAAACTTGAAACCTGAAATGACCATGTGAGATCCTGCCAGTCACAGTGAAGGAATGGGGTTAACGCCTGAACTTTTCTTCTGTCAAATTATTTGTGTTAATAATGTGTATGGTTTAAGAGTGAGCTTGTTTTCTGCAGAAAGCTCCAACATATATTAAGTACGTGTGCAGAATAAGAAACAAACACATGGTAAAATGGATATACTTGCAAAAAAACATGACACAACCAACACAGGGTCCTTTTATTCCATTTATTTTTCTAATCTTACTTTCACTGCTTACCTTTAAATTTTCTCTTTTTACAATGACAGAAATTATATTTCCCCAGTAACAATTAGGATTAGATCATTTGGGGATCTTCAAAAATAATATACAGCTGTAACCAATACTGTTATAATTTATACATTTATTTTTGAAAATAGGAATAAATTTAACTTTTACAATTTCTCTTTTCTACAATATTCTCTTTTTATCTTCCCATGTCACATAATGGCAAGCCATGCACTACTCCAGTAGTGATGTTTGTGCCTTGAGCAAACTTTCTTTGGACACTGGAAGTGAGCGTGAGAGAGAGAGAGAGAGAGAGAGAGAAAATAAATTCACAAAAATGACAATTCATATTTACAGGTTTCATCTCTATAATTTAACAAACTGACAGTCATGTGGTCAGTGCTTTTCCCAGGGCTCATCATCAGGTTAGTTTAGAGGCAAAGTTTGAGACACAGAGGCACAGTGTTAGACTAGCAGGCCAGTTTCTTTCTTTTTTCTTTCAGGGCAAGCTGAGAATCTGTCAATTTGTGGTTTATTAGAACAGTACAGGCTATAACCAAAAGCGTTATCACGGACCCTGATAGAGAAAATGATCAGTTTAGGTTCAAATGTCTGTCTTTGGTCATTTTGAAAGCAGGAGTTAAAATGGAGAAATTGGATTTGTTTAAAGTGCAATCACCTTCAGCTCTGCTAAGAGGGAATGTTTTATCAGCTCTGTAGTCTCACCTGTCGTCTAGTTATTCTGTTGCCAGTCGTGTTAGTCCTCAAACTATCTGTCAAAAGCTGACAATAAAATGTGATGCAAAGAGAGAATTAACTGTAATATAACCCGTTGTGTTCAGGTGTCATCCTGTTTCCTCGTTATAAAGCATAAATGACTCATTACTCTAAAGAATAAAGCATTAAATCTGTTGGGGTAAACTTCTCGTTACACTAAAAGGCAGGATGCTGAGCTCAGCAAGCCTAGATATGAGTTTTTAGGTGTCGTGCTGATATTATGAGGTGTCACAACCTAGAACTCCACTGATGGATATTATAGCATATGATTTGTCAGTCAAAACATAGGTCAAACAACTGAATCAGAGATATACAATAAGAATCTGTGTTTCCATGCAGTACCTGACTCCATCTGGGAAGACAACAGTAGAAACTGCAGACTCTGCCATAGATCTAAAAATCACAACCCTGAACAGGTCAAAGCCACCTCAGCATTATGGAAGAGTGCGACAACCTCAACAACGACCAGTCTGAGCAGCTCATATTCAAGCTGTTTCACATAATGGAGACTCACCCAAGGACAACACACCTTTGCTTTAAATGTGTCTTAATTCAATAGATTCTCCCACAGATTCATTCACTGTGAATTAGTGATCTCCCCTTGTGAATTCAAAAATGTACAAATATAGTTTCAGCAGAACAGGTCACAGAGTGTGAGTTGTTGTTTGTGTTGAATGATGAATAAATATCTGCATGTGATTTAAAATAAAAAAAAATGAACAAAAAAAAAAAAAAAACCAAAACAGATACTGTACACGCTACATGCTAGAGAAGAATACAGGCAGCTGTCTCTCAGCTTAAGACAAGAAAAAGAAATGTTCTTTTCTTTTCTGGCTATAAAAATACCTAGAATCTAGAATGAGTGTAGAAAAAACTTTACATGTACAAGTCATTTACATCCAAGGCCATTTTTCCATGGAGTGGCAGGTGAAGAAGAGCAGTGAGATAAGATTTAGAGGGGATTAAACATGGTGAAAAATAGGAATTCTTCTTAAGATACTGGTGCAGAACGCCGTGCTGTTTGGACAAAAAGAAAACAACCTCCCCGACTTCGACTATAAATCCTTCAAGATATCTGGCGGGTTAATCCGACACTTAAGTTCAGTTTCTGAGTCAGAAAGAAATGTCCAAAAGCATTGACGCTGCACAGTACCGATAAACACGGCATCAGTTCAAAAAAATCAGTCTTTGAAAACGCAGATGTTGCTTCAGCAGAGGAAATAAAGAGCAGGTTCATTTCATCTGCCTTCCACCAATGTCCACTTTCTTGCCAAGCATTATTGCTACCAAAGTCTGCCATCTCTCTTCAATATTATGCAGATCAGTTCTGGAAAAATAAAACTGGCCAAAATCCAGGGAAAAAGCTCAGATGAACTCCTGATGGCTGAAAAAATACAGTATTTAAATGAAAACTAATCTTAAGAGTTTTTTTGTAGTATTCTTGAATATTTCCGATTGAACATGACATTAAGAATAGTGTGATGTGTTTTTTTTTTTTTTTCTTCTTAAGCATGAGTGGGATTTCTGCAGCACACACCAGCCCCAACTTTGCTGCTGTGTCTGTCTGTAGCAACAAATCCAACGTGCTATCATCTTCGTACGGGCTTCAAAATATCTTCAATTTTACATTTGATCCCTTCACAATCAACAGTTTTATCAACAACAACAATAAAGAAATCAAAACAAACCTTAGTGCAAAGTACAACCATTTGATTCTTCACATACAACCTCCCGAGTGTCATTTTTACTGACCATACATCACCTGTGCAGCAAAGAGAAAAAAAAAAAAAAAGGTTGGTAACCTGAATCAGCTTGCTCTCTGTCACTTTCACTCAGCAAGAGAACACTGGGATCAGGTGGGCTGTACTTAGAAAAATAAAACTACAATTCCCAGAATCACTCATCAGTTTCCCTTCATGCTTAATTCAAGTGTCTGGAGATTTTACAAAGTGACGAGGTGGTTATCGTTTGTCGGTTACAGTCAGTCAGTCTACATTTAGTGAGATAAGTTTGAGTTATCTAACGTTTGTGCCAGGGAGTGATGGGAAATGTAGTGATTTTTTCCACTTGAGGTCTCCAGCCCACCTGAGCACCGGGACCCTGTTTCATTGTAAAAATAAATGAGATGAAGCACATTATAAACCAGCCGGTTCCTTCATTTGGGAGACTGAGACTTTAACAAGATCGACTGTGTCATTCTTGTTACGTCTTCTAGTGCCACCCAGCTTTTTCAAAACCTTTTAAGTAACACAGAGCAAAAAAAAAAAAAAAATTCAAAACACCTCACATACACATAAATACACACACACACACACACACACACCCACTCACACACACACACACACACACACCCACTCACACACACACACACACACACACCCACTCACACACACACACACACACACACCCACTCACACACACACACACACACACACACACACACAACCCTCCGGGCATTTCTCATCCTCAACCCCTAGAAATGTCCCTCACTTGGGTTCACTGGAAAGACAGTTGAACTTGGTCAAAGGACACAACACGCTGTTATAGGGCCTGATAGGCAGCACAGCAAGCTTTTAACTTATTAAAGACAAATTCTACTTGTCTCTTTCCTGACCAAAGCTTCATACGGCTTTCTCTCGTGTGATTAAAACACGACTCAGCTTGGATCAGGACATCACAGCCCACCGACTGCACTGAGGCATGTATGGTATGCAGAATGAATGTATCCTTTGATCACCTTTCATTTAAGGCCTTTAGGTATAATTGTCTGATCGTTGTTTATTTAATTTTTTTTTTTTAAGCTCAATCAAACATTGACACTTTGTTTTGGGAAAGGGATGGGGTAGATTTCTACTCCGAATGATACTGACCTCTTGCACACATTTACACATTCGCTCATTCTCACAGGGGAGGGGGAGGGGTGACTCAGGTCCCTCTAGCCAAATACATGGAAGTCACCAGAACCCAAGTGTTTTGTGGAGGGTTAACACTTACCACTCACAAATAAGTACAGACTCAGGGGATATCTAACTGAAAATAGCTTATTTTTCACTGACAGCCATGGACTTGTTAAAAATCTTAAATTTTTCCTTTTTTTGTTTTTTTCTTTTGGTAGGGTAGGTGGGGTGGGGTGGGGGGGGGGTGGGGTTGGTAACTTGAGTGCGTTGTTGTTTTTTTTTTTCTACCAAAATTATGTCTGAATATTTTTACATCCTCTCTTGGTAGTTTTCTTTTAGCCAAGTCTCGAATATTATTTAACAGCCTGAGGAGTCACTCCAAGTGGCTCTCTGGCTGCATGCTGTCTATTTGACCTCTAGGATGGAGGGGTTGGACTCCATGATGGCCACGATGATTTTGTCGATGTAGTCCTGGAGTCTGTAGTTGATCTCCTCCTGCTTGTGGATAGCCTCCATCAGCTGGACACAGAGAAACAGAAGTCAGTGGAGAATTCAAATAAAAAGGTAAACTGGTCGTAACTATGTTGTAAAACCTTCTTGTTTTCTAAAACACACCTCTGCGCGAGACACAGAGTTGATCTCAGCTGCCAGGGAGTCGGAGAAGGAGGCCGACATCAGGTTCTTGGCTCCCTGGATGCTCAGGTTGATGATCTGGCCGTTTAACTCGTCATTCTGCTCCTTCAAGCTGCGGTTGTCCTGGAGAGGTCAAGTCAAATGTAATGCATCATAAAAGACTGCAGGCCAAGTGTTAAATCATTCTTCCATGTCACGACAGTCTGGTCCGAGTGATAGAATGAGAAAATGCTACAGAAATCGAGTGAGGAGTCAGAGAAATGAGGAAAACCTACCTGTTTGAGTCGTTTGATCTCTTGCTCCAGCTCGGCTTCGCGGGTGCGGGTCTGATACTCCTGCAGCCCTGCGCCGGGTGAGCGCCCTCTCTTTGCTTCGGCCTCCAACTTGTACAGCTGTAGGTGCTCGAGCTGTTTACGTAGGTCTTCAATTAGCTGTGGTAGAAACAGATCAAGAGACATCAGTTAGTTAAGTCATTAGGAATCGTATAAAATGGTGGGTAAAGGGCAAAAACAATTTGGGAACTTTTGACAAATGACAGTCATGCCGTGTAACTCTACACTGTATTGTAATATTTTGACACACAGGGTATTGTTTATTTTGTACATAGAGAAAGCAGTTCCACCTCCTGTGTGCACTCCTTCTCCTTATGGCTCTGGTGGCGCTCGTGGCTCAGCTTGTCACCCATCTTCCTGCGGGACTCCGTCTCATCCTTAAGTCTGTCAGACATGACTTCTGTCTCATCTTGCAGCTTCCTCTTCTCCTGGAAAATAAAAAAAAAAAACAAAAAAAACAAAGAAGTTGAGGAATGGAATTTATGAGAAAGATTACAGTGTGAGCCCAAGAAAGGAAAAACAAACCCGGAGATAAGTTTTATTGCTCTCACCTCCTCTAGTCGCTCGATGTTTGCTCGTAGACAAGGAACACAGGACCGCAGCTCACTGTTCTCCTCATCCATTTGCTGCAGCCTGAGAAACAAGTGCAAGACATTCATATCAAAAAGCAACATTGCAACCACAAAGTAACAACTGCTATATCTGCACTGTTTGTTAATGGTTGACGATGTTGTACCATATAGACAGTTTATGTTCAGTGGCAGCTATGTGCCAGAAGGTGGCACTATTCCTCCAACAAACACTATGTCAACCACTAGCGTCACCATGAACAAATGTGTTTTTAATGTACCATTAAATCAAGTAAAATAAACACACCAAAAAGCACGACCTAAAAAGTCATCATGGAAATCACACTCGAGTTACAACGATCACAGAGTCCAGTATCAAAAACATCTGAATGTCTGATGACAAGTTAAATAAACCAGGTGGCATGGACAAATCTTATTCACATTATAAAGCAATCTGTTGTACAGTAAATATATTTATAGATAAGATATTCTAAAAACAGCCAGGTCTTTCCTCATGTGCTCACCTGGCCTGCAGGTTTTCCAGCTCCAGCCCCCTCTCCCTCTCCAGCTTGCTCAGGGCCTCCTTGTGGCGGCGGGTCTCTTGCTGTAGTTGCTCGTCAGCATGGAGCTCCTGCTCCTTCAGTTGCTCCTCCAGGGCATTTGCCCGGTGCACCAGCTGAAGGTTCTCCTGGCGCAGCCGAGCGTGCTGCTCCCCCGAGGCCTCCGACTCCTTCTCCAGCTCCGCCACTCGACGCTCAAGGAGGAGCACCTGGGAAAAGTAAACCCTTCATGGTTAGCAAAGCAAAATTTGAAATGTATTGTTAAGTGTAATCAACTATGATGTGTTGCAGTACTGACGTATCTGTCTAATTGCCAATATGAAAAGTTTCTCCTTCCTTTAATAGCTACTTCAAAAGGTGAAAACTGACAGCTCAGACGTATGAATGTGTGTAACCAGAGGGCTGCAGAGGCAGGTGTGTTTATTTTTACTATGTCACCTTGTCTGTGATGTCATTGTCAGCGAGCTCCAGGATGTCCCGCGTTAAGTCGCTCATGGTGTCCAGAGTCATGGAGCTGTTCTGGAGGAGATGTCTGCACGTGGAGAGGAAAGAAAAAAAACAACGTAACTCCCAGGAGCCAGTTGACATTTGATAAAGTGTCATTTTCTCATGCCAAACACAACTATCTATTACAATCATACTAGAAATACGAGACCTTGCTTACTGAAATCAGAGCAACTATTTTGCTTACCTTGCTACTTTCTTGCTGGACAGCCTCTTACCAGCGCTGGATAGGGAGACAGAACAACAGGAAAAATGGTCAGGAAGAGAAAAAGGATAGAGGAAAGAGATACCATCTTCTGATGGTCCTCTTATCCACCTCCAGTCCTTCTCTTTGACAGCAGAAGAGCCCCATTAAGGAATCAAGGGGCATGATGGGGTCTTATTACTTTGCTAGTAAATCACTAGATTTTACACAAAACTTCTAGAAAATATTCACACATCACAGCAATCTAACACAAGCACAGCAGCGTTATAAAGCTATACAAATTCTGATCTAGGATTGGTTTTGCTTAACAGACCTGTAACAAATTGCATTATAGAAACTTACAAAACTATATGGCAATTCGAAGTTTTATAGATTTCTAAATTCTTTAAAGTTAGTCATCTTATGTTCTGCAGTTACACAGTTAGTAAAGAGAGGAAATAGGATTTGAGAGTCACTAAGTTTCTGTAATACAGCTACTGGTCAGTAATCCTGGATCAGCATGTTTGTTCTGATAAAAGCAGGTTCTTTGAAAAGCCTTACTCCACTACCAGCTGGCATTTTGCAACAACTCAAATGAAGCATGAAGGTAATGGAATACACACCACTCACCTGTGATACCCAGGATTATTATTTCATATCTCTACAACCTCATTCAAATTAACTAAACAAGTACAATCAATCAATCAATTAATGTGAAAAATGTTTATTATGCATGAGTGACAAATGATAATTTGCACAGATGGTAACAATGGGAAGGAACTGGCTGTGAAAAGTGCAACAAGGCCACTGAAGTGCGTTTTTCCATCAATAAATGCTAAATGCTAACATGACGAAACACACACCATGTTGTTGCTAGTCCAACACAGCATGCACACATCATGAGAACATGCGCGATACTGTATCTATTCAGCACTGCAAACACATTCACACAGCTTACAGTCGGAGTGGGTTGTGAATGATGTGTTACCTAGTCATCTCTAGGAAATTGAGGCGAGTGGAGAGGTCCTCGAGACGACTTATTTGTTTGTGACACTGGCTACAGAAAAAGTCCAGCGCCTCCTCCCTGAGGAAGCTCTGAAAGCAGTCAGGGAGAGGAGCAGGTGCACTGGAAAGAGGAAACAAGGAGGAAGAGGAGGAGGAAGTGGTGAGTGATGGACAAGAAGGAGGGACAGAGGGAGGGGAGTCGGGGTGTGGGGGAGTGCAGTGCACTGAGATGGCACAGGACACCTCTGAGGGTGCAGGAGGTGTTAGTGAAATCCACAGAAGAGTTTGAAAGAGTAAAGTTTGAGGGCTTCGGTGGGAGGGAGACGTGAAACAGACTGTGCAGTGTGGCCTTGATTTGTTTTTTGGATAGAAACAAAACATTCTGGGAGAAGGAATGTGTCGAACTCTCTTCAGTGAAAGATTTATTTTCCCCTGCTGCCAAACATTCTTCTCTATTCAACCTTGGTGTCTTTGCAGAGAAACCTTCAGACTTCTCACTACTTCTTTAAATAAATCAAAATGACACAAATTAATCACATGGTTGCTCATTTTATTGTTGGGAGTTTGTACCCTCTCCTCACATCACCTCTACCAGCTGATTGTTCATTCAGGAAGCGAGTCACGTCTGAATTATGCAACAAACTGGCACAGGTTCTTGTTAATGTAGGCAGAAACGCTGTGTTACATAGCAGACTTTGAATGAGTGTCACTTTATGGTCATATGCACTGTTGCCGTTTTCTACTGACAGCGTGAGGGATGACTTTGTTAAAAAATGCTGCAGTGATGTAGACAAAGTTCTGTAATATGTAGACTGATAAATAAGGGGGTGTGTGTAGGCAGCGCGGCTACATGCGCCAACAATGAGCAGGAATGGCTCCAAAACATGGTGACGCATTCACACTGAGTGGGTGAAGTTTGTGGGATGCGGTTATTTTTTGTGTGTGTGTGTGTGTGTGTGTGTGTGTGTGTGTGTGTGTGTGTGTGTGTGTTTTTTTTTTCACCCTGACAAGCAGGCAGATCTGTGCTCAACTTGTATGTGATGTAGTTTTTCACAAAGAGTTTTTCTAATATAAAAATATAACTTAAAATGATATTATATAAAATTACATAATAATAATTTCATTAATTTATAATTTAAGGATTCTCCCCTTATTATCTTCTTAGATTTATCCTATTTACTTGAATGTATCCTTTACATTGCGCTATGAAGACAATTTTCAAAATGAGGATCATTCAAGTTAATATCCAAACATCATGTTATATATAATCACGTAGTTTTTTTGCTATGTTAGCCTACCTGTTATTATAACAATTACTCCTACAAAACAGTAGGAATAAACAGAGAGGCTGTGCTTCAATGATCAGCTTATTTCCATATTGTCAATGGGATAAAAAAAAAGAAAAAAAAAGACTGGGCAGTTAACTGTTAAGAGCTTCCTGGCAAAGCAAATTACGGAAATATCACCCAAGTGGGAATTACGCATTATCCAGCTTAGAGTCTCTGATGAAAACAGAGGAGGACGGAGGAAAGAGATGACTGGGAAAAGGCTACAGCAGGTGCTTCAACACAAATGAAGTGTGCCATAAAGAGGAGTGTATGTGTTGGCTGTATTACAGTGTTTGTCTTTACGTCAACCGCGTCAACCAGTGCCTGTGCTACTGCAGCCTAAAGGCAAAGCTTGTTATGTGTTTGAACTCAACGCAACAATACATCCACCTTCTGCCTGTCCCAGAACAGTTGGTAACAGACACCACCCTTAAGACTTAAACAGTTTAACTGAGTTTTCTCGTTAGCTGTTTTAGAGAAGAATTTATCCAAGTATCCGCATTTCCAATATTCTTTGCAACAGTGAGAGTAAGCCTGCCGGAATGAACTTTGTATTCGCTCCATTAATCTTGCCCTTCATCAGAAAAAGGAGGCAGACAGGGTTGTGAAGGACATCTCCAGATAGCTCTTATCAATGTTTGACCCCAGTGGCTTTGTTGAAAGAAAAAACATTTTCTCTGAAGAATGTGCATAGAGGCATTTGGGCCTCGACTAATGCAGCTGAGAATGTAACAGTGTCACACACCTCTTATCAGGAAGGGTTGATAAAAAAGAAAGTTATTTGACAGCCTGATGCAAATTGTATTAATATTCACGTCAGTTAAATAACCTTTGGGGTTTCTAATTTCATAGGAAGAATCAGGACTTTTTTGAAAATATAGAGCACAACGAATGTAAAATGTTTTGATACGTTTTGGTCAGAATTAGTCAAAACTCGACCCAGTGCAGCGAAGACGAGCTCGTACCTGGGAGACAGAAGTGAGGAGCCATTGACCTGCTCGAGGGGCTGCACGAGAGAGGAGTCGGCCTCCCCCTCCGTCCCCTCCACGCTGCTCTCCAGTAGCAACTCTGAGGTATTGCTTTCACCAAAGTCCTCAAAGTGCTCCTCCTCTCCACCGATGACCGTCACCAGGGAGTGGTTATGGAGCTCAGAGTTCAGGGAAAACCTGAGGGACACATAAGAATGGATTACTGTATTAGTGTGTGTGTTCACTTGTGTATATCGACAACAGTGTAGTTAACTTTAGGTCCTAGCCAAAAATAGAGGAAAATATGTCATGTTTAGATGGAATAAAAATGGACGACCAACCGGTTATAAACAGCCACATAACCATCCATTTAAGAAACCATAATTTCAGCCAAATCAAACAAGGCCCATCTTCCGACTCCAATCAAACAAAAAATATACACATGCAATAGTATTTCAGTAACAAGCTCTAAGCCTGGAAATGATTAGAGCCTACTGTAAATCCCACACAAGTATAATTAATCTTCCCCCCAGGAAGAACGGCAATCTGGACAAGTTCAACGATCACTTGTCTTCAAAGGTAATCTGTTAATTCACATTAATCCCGAAAGGCTGCTTTGGCAGAAACAAAATGTTTTGTGCCTCGTAGGTAATGCAAAACCACGATGGCAACACTTCAGACACGTCAGAGGAGCCTTCGTGGGGTCCGATGTGGGTCAGGCTTGATTGTGCTGCGAGAAGGAGCTGTGACTTCAGCTTTCATAACGGGCTGCTTATCTTACACAATGTGAATTTGATAGTGTTACAAGAGCTTAAACCCCTTGATGTTTGTTCAACAGGAAAGCTAGCCTTTTTCCTGTTGTCCAGCAGGATATGCTAGACGTCTTAAACATACACAGGACGAGGATGTCCAAATCAGCACAAACGTTTGCTTTCTCAGCACACGATGACAAAGCCCATTTTGCTTGTTTACAAAAAGAAAAAAGAAAAAAAAGGCATCCATCTGTCTAATTCAATGCTAAAACATCACCTCAATTTACAGTGTGAAAACCTGCTGTTGCACAAAAAATCTGTCAAACTCTCCAAACGACTCTGGCAACTATTCATCTCATTAAATCTGCCAACAACGCAGTTTCAGCTGCAGTAACACCCTGAACAAACATTCGGCTGAACCGCTTAAACGGTAGTACAACCATTTTTGAAGCCACTTACCCTTTACTCAGGTTCTTACTAGTTGGCCCCATATTGAGGTCCTTCACACAGAGGGATGGTGAAGAGAGGGACCGCATCTTTAAACGCCCTCCGCTGCCCTGGCGTGAAAGCCGTGGAGCAACTGGAGTTAAAACCCCAGACAACCAGAGTGGAATCCTGAAACTTCACAGGTTACACCGATTTAAAATAAAAACCAAGACTCTCCTGTTTGGAGAAAAAAAAGTGTCCGGCCTTTCAAAACGGCCACGTCTGTGGTCCTAATGAGCTGCCAATCTACAGTGCCACATGACTGATGGTGCATCGTCTGTGCAACCGAAAAGACTTGAGGCTGTACCAGAAAGGGTTGACTGAGTGAGTGGGTTAATCAGATTTGAGGCTAAGCAACGGCCAACAGACAGTCCTGCTGACCTTCCAAGGACCAAATGTGTGCAGGGACACAGGGGTAAAACAGAGGGGGGTGGGGGAGGCTAATCCTGTTAGATTCTTAATCCCCAGTCCAGTGCATATTCTCCAGCTCTGACTATGTCTTATCTGGCTGCAGGCTGCAGCTAGGGTTCAGTCGGTTAACCAAGCTGCTTTGCAAAAACTCAGTTTAGTTACTAGCCTTTTTGTTTCACTTACTCACAGTCAATGTTAAATAACAAACTGTTTTTGACTTGGAAAATGCCTTTAAAAAGTTTGGCAGTGAGAAACAATAAATTCACTCAGAGATATTCACTGGCATGATAAGTCACTGACAAATCAGGGTGGGTTTTCTTTTATTCTAGGAGGCGAGTCAGCAATGAGGTTACTTGTTTTTAGTAAACACACTGCTGAAGTGAGAGGATATAAAGGTCATAGAGTCATACAGCGTGAGTGTTGCCTTCCAGTCAGCAGTCAGATTTAGGGTGGCAATGGTATGAGTGAGCCGAAGGGAGAGAATCAGATTAGCCCATGCCAAAGAAAGGGGAAAAAAAGGAAAACAAAAAAAGAGCTAACTCAACACTTCCTGGAATTCAAGGCTCAATCATGGAATGGGAAGTCCAAACACATCCATGTCAGGCAGAGCACTCCAATCCGTCATCAAGCCGGAGAGACAGGTCACACAGTCAGCAAAGGTCTCACTGTTCTGCATTTCCTCCCTTGTGTTTGCCCTGAATACTATATCAACAAGACTCGTGCAGATACATGGGCCTCATCTGCAGCAGCTACTCGCCTTTAACAATAAGAAGAAGAAGAAATAAAGAAGCACATTTCTTTAACCCATCAAAATGAGAAAAATTGGGTACATGATCAGAGTCTGATCTAGACTCTAAAATATATAAAAAGTTCTATTCATCTTTCTTATCTGATGAAAATAATGGAGAGAGACAGTTTGTTACCGTCCTACTGGTCCAAAATGACTCACTACTATGCTCATCAATGATACATGTGACAAATACAGTATACTGTGGTACTACTTTGTCTTTTGCGCTGGAATTAAATTCCAGTGTCTAGAGTTCACTTTTCCAAAACAAAAGCAGTATGTTTTCAAGACTGAAGCTGTAATAAAATGATGATGGGATGATCCATCCATCCATCCATCCATCTTATCTGTTGACCCTTTGCACCCTAGTTATAAGTCAAAAACTACTGTTCACTCAATCCATAATCCTGTCTACACAGAGTAATTCAAACTGATCACAATATACATATACTGTCTTTATTTGAGTCAGTGCGGTTTAAAATCCAACACTTTACCAAATAGAGCCATGATTTCAATTCAGTTAATTATTGAAAAACCGACTCCAGTGTGTGACACAGAGTGACAGCTGTGTGTCAGTGGGAGACACCCATCACACCAGCTTATTCGCAACACAATTGGAATGCAGAGGTAGTCAGTAAAAAGGATGACCTTCCCTATTTTGACTACTTTAAGCAGGCAACACTGATGTCGACTCGGATAACTCGGCATTTTCCAGTGCAAACACAAAAAAGGATCGAAAAAACTTCAGTCCAAAGCGACCATAAGCCAAAGAACATAAGACAAATGAATATCGCTGTGACAAAAAGCCAGAACATACATTAAACACTGAAAATATTTCACTTACTGTAATCATCAACAGCTTATGCCATAACCTGAGAATTCAGAGAAGATGAGCAGCTCTCAGTCTCTTTTCAGCCCAAACAAACAATGAACCACCGAGACGTACTGCCATCGGTAAAGAATGGTGGAAGGACTTTGTGTTCAAGGTTTCTCATGCTTACACTGTTCACATTTCAAGTTATCTCTGAATGAGCTTTTCCTGTTCAGCCTCAAAGAAAACATCAACAGTGAAAGTCCCCGGTGACTATGGGAAATGTTACCTCAAACTGCCCGTGACAGCGCATGGTGTATGAGTACATGAGCGGCTACATTTAAAAAGGACAACTAAGGACAAAAATGAGGAGACCAAACACAAAATATTAGTAACATACTGTATGTCTGACTGACACACTGGTGTATTTAGAGGAATTCAAGACACTGGGTCAATAAAGTTGTGGCTGTCTATTGCTTCCGTTTAATCTGCCTGTCTGGTGACCCAAATAGAACCTGAGTGATCCAGCACTGGGCACACAAGACTTGTAAACCACGTGGTCTGTGTGAAAGGTCAGTGCAGGGCAACTCCAGGGCTAACCCTTAGCTGGAGATTTGACACACATTTACGGTAAATTCTGTAGCCAGCAGCAATTTCGAACAGCATTATGACGTTGATCTGGTTCTCATGACAAGTGGATTACAATTGATGATTCATGACAGAAGTCATTCAGGGTCACAAGCAGCTTTCTTATCACCAAATGCACGGCAGAGGAGACATATGTCCAGGAAATATGAGCACATTGGCCAAAATTGGCATTGTGTATATGGCTGAGTGTGAAATTTATACTGACCTATTTCCGCCATCTTCAGGGTCATGCAGCGTGGCCTCGATGCCGCTGTCTGTCTCCACATCCTCATGCATCTCAGGGGGTACGAGGGCCCCTGTGTCCTCATCAGTGAAGGTTTCACACTCACTGTATGTGCTCTCGGAGCCCAGGTATGCACTGTCGGTCACCTCATTTTGCTGCAGTAACAGAAACAGAACAAGAATAATCAAATCACAGATTACTTATCAAGCAGTAAATCAAGCAGTACAAATCCAAACTGATATGAATAATTCACCAAGGTAAAAGCAGGGCACGAATGTGAATATGGAACTTACTATATACACACACACTAGAGTGAATGCTGCATATACTGTATTTTCGGATTTATTTTCGGATTTAAATAATAGCATGGCTTTAGAAAACTTTGCTCCAATACAGCAATAATGATCAAACAAAGAAGTAGTATTCAACAAGCTTTTACCATCACTCTAAATTTATTTTGCATTTATGAGTAAAAAAAAAAAAAACCTATAGCTTGAATAAAGAGTGCAAAAAACAGCATCTATTACAAAGATGGTCTGTTTTGAATCTTCAGGTCTGGCCAGTTGGTAGTGATGCCAATTACACCATCAACCAAACAAAACACAGAGCATAAACAGACTTCAGAGATGCAGTCTGCTGTGATTCAGATGGCTGTTCCAAGGAAAACCTGCTGTATCAACACCTCTAAGCAACAAGTTCAGATAAAAACGTGCAAGCCTCAGGCTTTCCCAGCACTAAATACCAAATGCTAAACACAAAACCCACAGACTGACACATGCCAAAAAAGAACATCTGACGCTAGACACACACATAAAGCAGTAATGAAGAAAGGACAGGTGAGTCATGTCGTAAAAGCAGAACATACCATTATAAATGAAGCGTCAGGAGACGCAGGGCCCAGAGGGCTATCCACCATGCCCAGGACCATTCTCTCTGTCCAGTCTCACTGACAGGAAAGCTGGCCTGCCATGAGAGCCTCCTAATAACTCCTACTAACGCTTCCTCACCGTCACTCTCAGAGAGAGTGAGAGAGAGTATGTTGGAAAAATGGAAAATACTGTAACACCTCGTTCAGCTCTGCTGGGTGGTCAGAGGGGTGGAGACAGAGACAAAGTCCAAAGAGTAACAGAAGTCAGCTGTAGTGCTCAATCAACTACTACCAGCTTTCAGCCCGAGTTAAAACAGCACACGATCAGCTGAATAACTGTTTAATCTTTGCTGGCTCCCGGGAGCTTCACTTCCCGGCCCAGTGTGACAGTATAAATCATTAAGCCATGTTCTACATGTCTCAGGCAGCACAGTGAATGAGGGCCATACTGTACATCACAACAACCTGCCATAACGATATGACCGTGTGCCAATAGAAAACTAACATGCTGTTAAGCTGTAAAACTCGTAGAATGTGAGCCAATACCAACAATTACAGAGACATAAGTTATAACAAATGGAAAGGCCACTATTACTGCCGTTATGTTTCTATTTATGAATTCAAATGTGAGATGGAAATGTGAAAGTTAGCAATGGTAGAAAATATTTAGTAAGGGAAAAATGGGGTGGATGGGGCATTGCTTTTCTCTCATTCCCAGCCTCAGCTCAACAGCCTTACCTTGCCTGTTTTGAAAGCAAACAGGGCTAGAACAGCACAGCCATTGAGAGAGAGGAACCTTTTTTTGCCAGAAACTCAAGGGAAAAACAAGGCAATGGACGCAGGTGTGGCGACTACTTCAAACATACAGAAACTTCCCCAAAACTCTGCTTACGGGTTCCAGTAAACAGCAACTAGAATATTTTGTGTAGAAAATACTTTATATATAAATAACAGCGTCATGCTTCGGACTGGCATCTAATGTTCCTTCAGTTTTTTCTTGTGGCCATTTTCTGATCAATTTGTTTTCGTTCATTTGTTTCCAGCTTAATTGCACATGAGAGAAAACACTGAAATACACGTAATATTTCAATGAAAAAGCTTATAATTGTAAGAACCAAACTGCATTGCAAAAACTGTACAAAGATCAAGAAGCTTAGCAGTTTGCAAATAGTCATATGTAAGCAAACATTATATAAATTAGACCTTAACTTATAAATAAATAAATTACCCTGGACAGACGCTCATTTGTATTTGAACATTAATATTAGTCTAACATCTAAAGCAACTCAGCTATTTACATCAGGTCTTTGAGCTGTATCACACATCATTTAAGCATCATTAGAACACACAGAAGAGGAAGATCTATTTCTTGATTAACTCATTTGGACAAACGCGATATAATATACAGACCATTTAACATCTACAGTAAATCCAATTATCTAAATTTCACCCTCAACTTGATGGTGCTCCATCAATTATAATATATGAATGGTCTGTTGTAACAAGGCCGGCCTTCATGTGCTGTATGA